TTAAAATGGGAAAAGGGTCAAATATACCCTTCTACTTTCATATATTGTTTACATTTAACCTTTGTTATACTATCGGATCAAATTTACCCATACCGTTATATTATCGGGCCAAATTAACTCCTACAATTAGCAACTTTTAAAAATACCCCTTAATTTATTAAGTAATCCAAAATCTCCCAAATTTTTTTTATTTAAATCACTTGTTATTCTTCTTGCTCCATTATTTTCAAAAATTACTATTGATGTGAATGCTAAAGTTACTAGATTTATATAAATATTCATTTTTTTTTTGAATTAGCAATGCACCCATTTCTCTTCTTGTAATATATGAAATTGGTTTAGAATTTTATTTATTTTTTAATCATATATACAACGTAGAATTTAGTTGGTCTATTTATTGTGTATTATATGGAGCTGATTATCATATATGTACATGTATATTCAAATATATTTTGTCATTGTCTGGTTCGTATAGAGTTTGATCGACTAACTTAAGAGCGCACAAAGTGTAGGCATTTAATTAAAGCAAAGTTGAATTAGACAGTGTAAAGTATCCGAGGAACTTCAACTTCAATTGCAAAGCCTACCTACATTTGGTGCAACGAATTCATTAAAATTGGAATGTTATAAATACTTTTAGAAATTAGAAAAACTACCTAATTTAGATTTTTTAATTTACTATATTTTGTTTATTCGGTTGTATTTAGGGGTGTTCATAGGTCGGGTTGGTTCGGATTTTTTAATTATCAAACCAAACCAATGGTGTCGGATTTTTAAATTTATAAACCAAACCAACCAACAAAGTCGGGTTTTTCAATCTCAGGTTTTTCGAGTTTTTAGGTTTTTTCCGGTAAAATCTTCACAGTATAAAATATGTAACTTGTGCTCAAAATATTTCTTAAGTCCTAATAGAATACAACTATATAATGTGTTTTCCAAGAAACTAACATAATAATATGAGATAAGTCATATCATTATACTAAAATATTCAATAACAAAGATAAAATAATAAAATTACATAAAAAAAAATATTGCTAATTAATAAGCCATAATAAAAATTAACATAACCTAAAAATATTATATAGGTCATGCTAAAATAAGTATAGCTAATAAATACTAATATTAATTACATAACTAAGCACTAAAGAAAAAGATAAACTAAGTTATGCATTTTCATTATAAACCAATGTAAAACTAAAATAATTATCCAACACTATCGTCATTCCTAGTATTGAATTGAATTTCTTTTGTTAGCATTAGTATTAATTTGAACTTTATTTGAGTTACTACATTTATGGGCTATAAAATTGATTTACCATTCAAGAATGTTAAGTCTAAATTTGAAATAATACGTTAAAAGATAAAACTGTGAAAAAGTTTAAGAAAAAATTATAAATTACATTATAATAAATATTCACATCAGGTTTTTTTCCGGTTTGACTGGGATTATCGGTTTGGTGCGGTTTATCAGTTTTCTTCGTACACCCCTACTTGTATTATTTAATATTTTTTTCTGTTATTTTTTCTTTCTCTAATTCAGAAAGCAAGTAAATGCCAGTTATTTAAAAAATAGTAGACCAAGCAGAACAACAAATGATTTAAATAAAAGGAGTTTGGAATATTTTGGATTACTTAACAGATCAAAGGGTATTTTTAAAAATTTGTTGATTGTAGGGATAAATTTGGTTCGATAATATAACGAAGGTTAAATATAGACAATATATGAAAGTAGAGAGTATATTTGACCCTTTTCCCATTTATAATTTGGGTTCATTTTGTATGGCACTTCTTTTTTCCTAGTTTTTTTTTCACCCAGTGTTCGGTACCCGCATTAGAGCCCAACTATATTCCGATTCGCGCCGGGTAACGGCCCATTCGAAGGGAAGCACTCCCTACCAAGGATTTTTCCATACCTAGGGCTAGAATTAAGGAAGGAGCAGCCATATCCGTTGCACCATATCTTTTGGTGGTTTCTTTTTTCCTGTTTGTTTCCAAACAAATTGACACATTTTGACACTTAAAAACTTTTTAACTTACACTTTCACATTTATCCTTTACTTACACTTCTACAAGTAAGTTTATGAAATGAAGTAACTTACAACCTTTCACAATCCTTTGAAGGATAAATGTACTTTCATAACCTTTCACATTTAACCTACACTTTCACACTTTCAAATAAATGAAGTATATTTTAGCATTTCTGCGTTATATCAATCCTTGTGATCTACACTTGATACTTTCGTTTTTTCGGTACAAATATTTCTGTAACCACCAAATTTTTAACCTTTGAGCATTCGGTGGATAAGGATTAGCTCATTATCTGAGAAAAATTATTACAAAGGTAAAGAGTAAAGCGAAAACCATAGCTTACTTTTTTGTAGAGAGATGTTCCTTGTTTACAATTACAACATCATTTCTTACAGGAAAACAGATAAAATTCCCCTGAACTTGTCCGGAAAACTCGATTGAACACTTAAACTAAAGTGGCATTTCTTTACCCCTAAACACATTTCGAGTGAATTATTTTTCCCCTAATAACTGACGGTGGTAAAAAAAAAATTTGTAGGCACGTACATA